GCAGGCGAGTCTTGTGGCTATTCTCACCCGGTGCGCGTTCACCAAATTTTGCGTTCACCCTAAACCACAGAATTCTACACTGTGATAACAGAAAAATTGTAGAATTCTATGCCGTGAACAAACGTTCCATTACAATTGTAGCCTACTAAAAGCGTACAATTTTGTCTGTGGGCAGTGGAGAGAGAGAGAGAAAGAGAGAGGAGTAGCGCGAGAATTTCCGGGCAAAACAAAATGGCGACCCGCGTAGTTCGGCTCGATTCGAAAAGTTAAATAGCCGTAGCATCTTTGTAGACAACCAAATTTATTTACTTTTGTGTTTTAACATCATTTTTTAACTTTGTTTTGGTCAATTTGATCGTCCACACCGATAGACAGTATTCAGAAAGAGACAGAGAGAGAGAGAAGAGGGGAGGAGTTGATCTTGCGAGAACTTCCGGGCGGGTGAGAATAGCCACTTTCTTCTTAAATAACGAAATAAGCAGTTGAAACCACATGCGATTAAAAGTAGAAATGATGCAAACTATTTTTAGGTAAGGCGCCCATCTTGTTTGACGTCAGACCAGGATACCCCTCCGATCACGTGACTACATCTAAGTATAGACAACCGCATGGCACCAAAGATGGAAGTGTCTATGTATATTATGCTTAATCTACACCATTTTCTCGGAAGTTCTGATAGCTGATTTGATAGCGCGTCTGCGTTTGATGTCGAGCAATGATTTTTGGAGCGGTTCGATTCCGGTCCCGGACAGTTTTTTTTTTCTCTTTTCCTCCTCCCGACTGACCAACAGTTCCATAAATTATAGGCCTAATTTGTAGAGTTGCTTTGACTTTGAAGTTGTTGTTTATTTTTAAAAATGTATTAGTGATTAAAAATGCAGGAGGGGGGGGGGGTTGGTAGATCTAAATTTAGATATCTAGAGTCTAGATCTAGATCTAGATATTATCTAGTCCTCCTGCGTCTTTACGGCAATTTTCGTGCGGTCTTCCATCATGTCCAGGTAGGCCTAATAGATCTAGATCTAGAATCTAGATTCTAGATCTAGATCTAGATCTAGAAAATCCGAAATGTTACCGAAAACACGTCGTTCCATGTGGGTATCCCAGGAAGTGATGACATCACATTACTAAAATTAGGAGCCAATCAGAAAGATGCGTCATTTCTAAGTTTAACGGCATGTGTTGAAACCGTTATGATCGCACGCAATGAACACTCAGTTATCAGCTTGGCGGCTTGCTCATTTATCCTATCATTGTTGTCACCGCTTACAACTACAGTAACCTAACAGCCAATCAAATGTCGTTAGGGCTCAGGAAGAATAAGCCGGTTCCCACGCCCGTCTTTAATGAAACTCTTCTTGTAAAAAGGTAGAAGACTTTTAAAAAATAACACTGCACAGAGGGCTCACGCTCTCCCAGCCCTGACAATGGGGTGAAAGTTTACGACACACTTTCCCCCAGTGACACAGATACCTATGCGCCCATTGGGCCTTTGTTAGGCGCGTTCTATTTTCCGCAACAACACGACCCAATCCACCTCATAGACGGTATGTGTTTGGAGTGCTGTGCGTTTGTGCCGCTGAGATTTTACAGTTATTAATTACATCAAACCACTTTCGAGGCATCTTTTTCTTCAGATAAAAACTTATTAGAGAAATTTGGAGGTGAAACGGCTTCGTCCCCACCACCCAGAAGAGCTTAAATTTAACTAAGAACAAAGAGATGGAAGACAAAGGTGAGTCTTCTCATTTGAATGGTTCTCAAAACGCCGTGGCTCGCCGTGAGTATAGAAGAATCATCACTGTTTTGTTCTTATTGCTTGCTATTTGGTGGTAAAGAAGTGGAAGAAACCTAAGCCCCACCCAAATCTTGGTCCACCCACCGCCACTGCTCAACAGTAAAAATAATAGTTGAGAGTGCCACATTCCTGGCATTGTTCATTGATTGAATTGAATTAACGAAGGGGCTTGAATTAATTGATTGTTTTTATGGCATGGCCACCTCTATTCTCACCTGAGAATAGAGCAATTGTAGGTCTCTCACCGTGGGTGAGAGGGCGAGCCTTATTTTGCCATTCAGTATTCTTTTACTTTCCCTCCTGTCCCACACTTACACTCTCTTCACTTATTATTTGCTGCCAGTTGTCCAATTTCTAGTTAAATATTGATGCGCTGATGAACACGAATAGACTGTCATTTTCATTTCCGCCGCAAATTAATAGTTTTCAGAATATTTTATTGTTCTTAATTGAGCTAGATCTAGATCTTTATCACACATTGCCTGACCTCATAGTAATTTGCTGCTTTGGACCAATTGGGGGTGGTGGGGAGTGGGGGGGGGGGGGTGGTGGTGGTTCAAGGGAGCCTGGGTAAAAAAAAAAAGAAAGTGCCTATTTGCAACGCCGCGTTGCGATTAGCGCCAGTGCTAAATAAAACACTGTGTCGCTGTGTGTAAAATAGAAGTGGCTATTCTCACCCGGGGTGAGAATAGAAATACGATCGACCTCTCACCCCGGGTGAGACTTGCCACCGTAGGCTATTCTCACCCGGTGTGAAACAAGACCTGTTTTTCCTAATTTCGGAATACTTTCTATCGATGTGGATGATCAAATGGATAAAGGCAAAGAAAAGATTACGTTATAATAGCACAAAAGTAAGCTAATTTTATTGACTACAAAGATGCTATGGCTATTTCACTTTTCGAATCGAGCCGAACTACAGGGGTCACCATTTTGTTTTGCCCGGAAGTTCTCGCAAGATCTATGCCTCCCCTTTTCTCTCTCTCTGTCTCTTTCTGAATACTGTCTATCGGTGTGGACGATCAAATTGACCAAAACAAAGTTTAAAAATTATGTTAAAACACAAAAGTAAATTAATTTTGTCGTCTACAAAGATGCTACAGCTATTAAACTTTTCGAATCGAGCCGAACTACGCGGGTCGCCATTTTGTTTTGCCCGGAAGTTCTTGCGCTACTCCTCTCTCTCTCTCTTTCTCTCTCTCTCTCTCTCTCCACTGCCCAATGACAAAATTGTACGCTTTTATTAGGCTAACAGTAGTAATGGAACGTTTGGTCATGGCACAGAATTCTACAATTTTTCTGTTATCACAGTGTAGAATTCTGTGGTTTAGGGTGAACGCAAAATTGGTTGGCCTAGATCTAGGCTATAACGGTGAACGCACACCTGGTGAGAAGAGCCAAAAGACTCGCCTGCGCTATTCTCACCCGGAGTGAGAATAGAGGTGGCCGTGTAAAATATCAAGCTTAATCTGCACATCGTTATCGGAAGTCCTGATGGCCGAAGTGACAGCGCGTCTGCGCTTGAAGTCAAACCATTATTTTTTTAGCGTGGGTTTGATCCCGGTCCTGGACGTTGTTTTTTAAAACTTTTTTGTTGTTGTTGTTGTTGTTGTCCCCTTCTCGACTGACCAACAAATTGTTCCCATAATTATATCTTGTTGCTTTGTAGTTTTTTTAATGTAATGATGAAGCATGCACATTCTGGTTTTGTCCCTAAGAGGAGCTCTGCACAAAGTAGGCCTTAGTATAGCCTATACTTTTCCTTTTACCAATTTAGGCTTGGTTAAAGTTCAGTAGTGGCTTTCCTTGGTGTGTGAGTCGAATTTTTTAATTTCTTAATTTTAGGCTCAGGAGAAGGAAAAAAAAACACCTTTCGGGACCGGGATTCGATGCCAGGCTTGGAAGCACTGAACATTAGACTTAGAGAACGTAGACAGTAGACAGATTAGTATAAGTTCTCTAGGCCTAACTTAAAGTTTGAGTTGCACTGTCTTGTTATTGTTATCCAAGCGTCTTTCAACTTAAACTTGCTCAAACTCTAACTCAGATGATTATGATTATAAAATGAGAGATGAATAAGACGTCTACTTTTGTGCAAACAATGTCAGAAACAATTGTTAGAACTAATCTATATCTAGATTTTTCTAGATCTAGATCTACCCAATATTGATCGGAATAAGACAACGTCGTTAAAAAAAGGAGTCAAATCCTAGGAGGTTTATCAAAAAACTGAGAAAGCTTCCACAATTCAGGCAGTACTACAAATTATCATTTAGAAACGATTGCTACTACATCTAGTCTAGATTCTAAATCTAGTACTGGCGTTTCAAATAGCATGGGAGCTATTCAGAACGCGGTGTTGCAAATAGCACGGGAGCTATTCAGAACGCAGCATTGCAAATAGCACGGGAGCTATTCAGAATGTGGCGTTGCAAATAGCACGGGAGTTATTCAGAATGTGGCGTTGCAAATAGCGCTTTCCAAAAAAAAAAGGTAACTTTGCAGTGTCAGTATTGGACCCATCTCGCAATTGTGATTTTCTGAAGTTTTTTGTTGTGATATAACCGAATTTGACCATCACAATCACCGCAAATCAACCAAAATGTGAAAACCCCCTCACTGAAATCCTTTATATTCTAATGGTTTTAAAGGCGAAAAAGAGGATAAAAACCCCCCTTAAAGAACACCTTATATTCTCTTGCCTTACTCGCCATGCTCTTTGCAATTATCTAAGAAAGAACCCTTGTTGTTGTTTGAAACACTGAAACCACAATACCTCCTCTTTTTGGTCTTAGTTAGGAATCACAATACTGTTCCTACTGCGGCATACACTTATCCTCACGAAATGTGCACTGCATACTTAGCGCACACTACCTCCTTCAGCAAAACACCATGCAAATGTAAAAAATAATTACTTTTCTGGTTGTATTTGTAGAATCTTAAGATGGCTGAGAAATAATTGAAGGTGCACGACTGGCACGAATCCATGACATGACATAACCTAACCCAAGGAGCAGTGCAAGAATGACAGACTAAAAGATTTCAAACTTAAAGAGGGAAAGGACGTAAGCAAAACGCAGCAGACTCTGGGAAATGCGCATGCGCAACAATTAATATGCTAAAGGTTAGAAGTTGTGTGCGCCTGAGCATTCAAAAGGTTAGATTGCTCTTGCGCATAGTCTATGACATGACTCGCCATACAATCACCTTGCTCTTTCCCAGTGTATTAGTACGCCAAGTTTGTGAAAATATAATACAATACAGATAGCAATATCTCGCAAACGGGACATCTGCGATGGTTTTGAATATCATATTCGTTAATAACACACCCAAAAACCTACAAGAACCATAACAAAGTAGTCAACGTAAGTTGGGTCCAGTTCTACAATAATACCCAAAAATCTGGGGGTTTCAACCCGTAATTTAATATTTTACAGTTTTAGCTTTGAAGTTTTCTTGAAAACAATTGATTTGCGACAGTTTTAGTGGCTTTTTGTTATCTGCATCGAACAGTACTGCAGTTTGACCCTCGAAGCAGTGCATTTGTGTGCGGGAGTGAAAGTAAAAATTTACCGGCTATTCTCACCTGGTCTGCGCTCACCGTGATACCAGTGTGTAAACAAATGTTCCAACGCTCTTCTTGTGTTGAAAGCGCGCAATTTTGTCTGAGGGCAGTGAGCGAGAGAGAAAGAGAGGGGGGGGGGGGGAAGAGATAAATGCAGAGAGAGAGAGAAGGAGTAGGCTAGCAAGAACTTCCGGGCAAAACAAGTTGGCGACCAGCGTAGTTCGCCTCAATTCGAAAAGTGAACTAACGTAGCATTTTTGTAGATGGCCAAATTTGTTTACTTTTGTGCTATAGCATCATTTTTTTCTTTGTTTTTGTCAATTTGATCATCCACACTGATGGACAGTATTCAGAAATTAGGAAAAACAAGTCTTGTTTCACACGGGGTGAGAATAGCCAAAGCTGGCAAGTCTCACCCATACGATTCAATCGTATTTTTACTCTCCACCTGGGTGAGAGTAACCACTTCCTATTGTTATTCATTGTATTGTATTGTTATTTTTATATTATATTGTTCTTTGTATTTTTAAAAAAAAATGAGAACTTAAAAACTCAAGAGACACCATGTAGGACAGTCTAATTTGTCCTCGTTATGGTCTCCCAAGATCACTGAGAAAAATGACCTTTATAGACAGTTGATTGCTATGGACAGGATTTTAATTTCTGGTCACTTACTAGATCTCTGTTACAAGTTAAAGTAGTCTCCACCTAAGATCCTGGTGCTTGGGAGCAGGCAAAATGCGGGATCTTAGGAGAACAGGATCTTATTCGACGGACCAAGAGAAGAGTCTTCAGTGACCCATGTTTTCCCTGGTCCTGCGGAGGCCGGGTTTATGTTGCCCAATAAGCTTGTGTTGGTTTATTACCGAGACATGCGTCTCATTCAAATCACACCAAGTTGGTAGCTCTAGATGTTCTTCCAATGAAATTAGAACAAATTGACCCATTTAGACATGACGAGCTCGAAAGGATAGTCAGGAAACAAGACTTCCATTTTTCTATACAAAATCTTTCAATGAGCTTGATTTTGTATGAAATGATACTACCTGATAAAAATTTATTAAGCTCATTTGATAGTTTCGAATACCATTGTGCAGATAAAATGGACTATTGAGGGCAAAACATTCGGAAATTGACCTATATTGTCCCCTTTCGAACTCCAGATCATTCATGAAAACAAGAGTGTCTAAAAAGGTTATTTGAATGGGCGTAACTACTTGTAATGTCTTATCAGCCTATGAGAGGGGGTTATTCATGTGTTTGTAACACTTAAATAGAAAGCTATAAAAGATATAAGCGTTATTTTCATAATCGATTAACCCACTCCCACGGTATTAAAAAATGTAATAGGTTGCTGATAAGATTCGCATCTCGGCACAAGATGCAGGACAAGAGTTAAGGCCCACAACCGGTAAAAATGGTCTCCCTTCATTCTCAAATGAACTGACTTTATGACCTCTGGATGGGTTTGTGATATATGGTGAGCAAAGAGTGGTCAACCTTGATGACCAAACACATACCATTTTAACATATTATCCTATCTCAAGATCTATGCTTATCCAGTTGCTCTTCCCTTTAACCTGTCCAAAATTGATAGCTTTCCATCTCTGACCGAGTACCCCTGTCCCTTTACGCACCATTACGTTTTACGTTGTCACCACACCAATTAAGCTTTAGTCTGTGTCGCGCATTCGGGAGTAGTGACAACAGCTGCAATGATCAGGGAAGAGTTCACAGTTTGATGTGATCCTGCCTAAAGCGAACTTGTAGGCCTTACACACGTTTAGGTGGAGAGCTCAGATGCGAGTGCGATGTTTGGGGAAAACAAATGCGTTGGTCAGTTCTCATCTCGATGTGATACCTTCTGGGGCAAACATTGTATAGTTTCATCTAGTTTTACTTCGCGTCATCTCATTCACGAGAGTGACTGATCTTTGATGTGACGGGCTGTTCTTTGATCTCAGCTTTTCACTCCTGGTTGATCGGCTGTGCCCACCTGAGTTTTTGTTCCGTAAATTATGATCTGAAATGTGGGATCTTAGCCGAAAGTAGACCTTCTGAGTGAATCAGAGCGGGATCTTAAGTGTTACTTTTGTATAGTAAAAAAATTTAAAAAAAATTAAACTGCGGGATCTTAAGCGAACCGGGGTCGTAAGCGGTGGGATCTTTGGTGTAGACTACATGCAATACTATAATCTTTGTCCTTGTGTATACCATGCCGTATGCAAATGAATTCTGTAAATTAAATTGTGAACCACCAGCATCTATAAGAATCCTATTGAATCGTATAGAAAAAGAAATGATGCCAACAAACTCAAACATTTGTAGTACGGAATAGCAGTCATTGACAAAACAAAAGCACACAAGAGAAAATAAACCCGAAAAAAAATCCATGATAGGCAGTTGATGGGTACTGTAAGACAGATGCTACACTGCCTGTCATTGTCATACAGCTGCAAGGCATTTACTGAGGTCAGCAGCAGTGTGTTATTACTGGCTGTCAGGTAAATTGTGGTCAGAAAAGGAAATGATGCCAACAGACTGAAGTTTTTCCAGTTCTGTACACGAATAGCAGTCAAGGACAAAACGAAACAGCGCAAGAAAAAACAAACAAAGAAACAACAACAAAAAAGCCTGACCGTGGCAGGGGGTGGCCACTGTAAGATAGACACCACACTGACTACTATGGCTGCATTATATTTACTGAGGTCAGCAACAGTGCCTTATTGCTGGCTGTTGCATAAGGTGTAGGTATGGGCAGTGTGCTCAGTGCATTCACCATTTGCACATGTCAGCAGCATAACGAGGTCTTACCGAACATGTCATTTATCTGACACTTCTTTCAATTAAGAATATAATATCTGGCTCAAAAAGCTACACTTGTGTAACGAAATGTGCCTGATGAGTTTTTTTCTTCTTTTTTTTTCAGGTGGTATCAGTTGATAAGTTCAACTGATACAGTACCTCTACCTGCGAAGGTAGTTCTTCATTGTTGTGTGAATTTTTTATTCACTGAGCTAAAAGGGAAAAAATCTGCAGAAATGCCTGCCTTGTTGGAGAGGCCCAAGATGACTCGGGCGGTCTACGAATCCCTGAAGAGACACATCATGAGGGAGAGGGAAAAAAAGAAGCAAGGTATACATAAAATACTTATATGTGGTTGGGGTCCAACTCTAACTGTGTATAATATGTGTGGGCATTGTTTGGTTTAAAAAAGTTTCATGGCTGTCACAGATGTGAACATTGATATTAAGAACAGTGAATTTAAAGTATTTTTACAAAGTCGGTAGGTTGTAAGATTCCCCTGTCATACAGGCCACGCTCAGTACAATCCAGGATAAACTTTGGAATAATTATATAAATAAATTGCCCGTGCAAAAATATATATAGGCTCCTGTTTTTACAAAGACCATCCATCCTTCATCAATTATTATGAAGTGTACCTACTTATGTTACTGCATTATATGAAATGAATAAAATTCAAGGCCTGACAATGTTTTGGAATTTGAGTTAATTACGGCTAGATATTGAAAGTACACTCATACTCATAGTAAGCTTTTGTTTATGATTTAGGAAGGGCAGATTGTTGGTACTACTGTTTTTTAATCAAATTTGATATTTCTATCTACTTTTCACAGAACAAGAGCAAGATGCCATGATGGAACGTTTGAGGAAAGAAAGAGAGTTGAAGAAAAAGAAGGAAGAAGAGGACAGTCTCTCATTAGAAGAAACCAAGGAACAGGTTCAGTGATGATATGTTTCTTTCCCTCTGTTGTTTTTTTCTGCCTATCTTGCTTTTCCCGTGCACTGATTAATCCTGCGTTTCTTTCTACAATGTGTCTTACTTTACACTCAAGGATTTTGACATTTATATACTAAATCTTTGCCACATGACTAAGTTGTGAGATTCCTCTGCGTACACCACACTCTATTTTTGTTGCCTTTCTCTTTCAAAAAAGGTTCCGGATACCATCTTATTTTTCAACTTTTGAAGTTTTTAATAGCTGACTTCATCTTATCAACTGTGCAAGTGGTTGGAGGGTAGGTCCAACTACTATTTTTCCCCTGTATTGTTTTTGTCAGTCTGTTTTGCTTTTTACTTTCCCTAAAAGACTGTTCCTGATAGCGTGTCAATGTGCTTCTTTTTACTCAAAAACTGGATCAACTCTGTCCTCAGATAAGTCAGCTGGAAAGGAAGCTGGAGGGTCAGAAGATCTTGAAGCATCAGCTTTTCAATCAACTGAAAAAAGTTTTGAGCAATCAAGAGGACACTAGGAGGAAAGCTCAGCAGAAAGAGCAAAGGTAAAGCTTTGCTTGTGTCTGCATACCTTCCATATTGCATTCATGTGTAAATTTGGAGTCTCTTTAAAGTCTATGCATTTCTTGGTGTCCATGACTTTTAATGTTCTGTACGTTTGTGTATGGGTTCAGTTTGTTTTTATCCCAGTTTGATAAGGAGCACAGGTTTTGTTGGATCTTCTCAGTGACATCTGGTTTGCACGTACACTTCATGACTTACCTTCTTTAAGGGATTTGCGATGTTATCTAGTCCAGAATTTGGCCAGTAGATATGCTGAACAATGTTATATGGGAAGAGTTTTGTGACAAACCACGTTTTAACTCACTGGCTACCCATGCCGCATATGAAGTGGTCATAGTACTATTTCCGCTGACTACCTGTGCCCCAGCCCCTGTGGTTTTTGAGTTCAGAAGTTTTTTTTCGCGTTTTTCGCCAGCATATGTGGCTTGGGTACTGCTTTTAGAAACTACAACTACTTCTGCACTGAAAGAGCAGGAAAGGGTAGAAATGCATTCAGAATGGCATGTGCCGTTGTGCGTAGTACAATGTTTCTGTGTTTATCATAAAAAGGAGAGTTACTGGCTGTAACAAAACTGTGACAATTGGACATACTGTTGCCATTGCTGGTCCTTATTGTGTTCTCTATGGGTACATGCCACAAACAGCAGAACATAGATTCGCATTTGGTTTGTTTTCTTGGGTCCCAATTAAGGTGCAACCATGGTTCTTGCTGCAATTTCTGGACCTTTAAAAAAAAAAAAAATTAGATGAAAGAAGGAAGTCCACAATAAGTGTGCTGTTTCGTGATTTTATGTCAATTAGTTTTGCCACAGCGATCATTTGGAAAACACATTGAAATATCAGGTATGCTATTCTTAGGTAATAGGGAATGCAGTTTTCGGCATGAGGTGTTAGTGTATTTTTCTCATTCAGCAGCATACTCCCCTTAACTCTTAAGTATATGGAAGGCTATTACTCATTTGTACACGTCCAGTATTGTTATCTAACTTTTCAGCCTCACAAACTGACCTACATCTCCACTGTCAATAACCTTATTGGTTAAAATAATCACCAAACTGAGCAGGAATGAATAATCCAAGCAGTAAACTGACGGTTTGATTAAAGATAAGATGAATTTGCTGAGGTTTGGTAGATTTTTCTATGACTGGAAACAACCGAGTGATGCTGTGAGCCAGCTGAACTGGAGCGATGTATACTACGAGTTAATGTGATACCACCTATAGTGTTTAAAAATCGATGTTATTTTAAACTTGTGGAGATGTAATTTTCATAAAATTTTTGAAGCGAGATTCACCCACGAGAAATTTCGTCATTCTTAGAAACTTAAGGTGCAAGGGCAGTAACTGTTCTATAAATAGAAAAAGGCTGTTGGTTGTAGTTGCTTCCCCTATTTATTTGGAATCCTAATGGCAAATCCCTCAGCTGATGTTTTCTAGTTTGTATTGCCTTAAGCTCATTGCACCCTTCTGTTGTACTATTGGCTCACTAGTATATGCAGGATTACGGTTCAGATTGCCATGGTTCAAATCTCTGATCGGGTAATTCTGACCTGCTGTTTGGGGGAGTTTTCAAGATTACTCTCCTTGGTGGTTCTGTCCTTTCTTTCAGAGATGGATTTTGAGTTCTTAGGTCACATCTCTTAAATACGCATACAGTGTTGGAAGGGGTGTTTAACGAATACAGTGGTCAATAATTACCCCCTACTGTTATGTTATTGAGCTTATGCCTGTCTGACTAACTGTCTTCCTTTCTGTCCATCTGTCTGTGTCTCTGACTGTGTGGGTAGTTGGTGGTGTTCTGGTGTGGTTTGCTCCTTCTTTCCTATCAAACATCTCATCCTTATCTGTGCTCCTTTTTTTTTTTGTGTATGCTTCTCTCTTGCAACACCTCAAATCTTGGGCACGTATATGGCCTAATTGTGTTTCTCTTTATGTTGTTGAACTGGTTTTCTTGTTATTGTGAAATGCTTTTTCTTGTCTGAATGAAGTTATCTTATGATTAATGTGAAGCGCTCAGAGCTTATACCCGCATATGATAGAGCGCTATATAAATGTAATCTATTTTTTTATTATTATTAGTGAGATGACACTGTCCCAGCCAGCCTACCAACACCCGACCCTGGCCCCAGCCCCTCAGCCCATGATGATGCACGGCCGGCCGGCCCTATACAAGCCCACTGCTCCGCCACCACCCCTCACGGTAACCACACAATGTTCCTTCTCCCTCCTCCATGCTGGGATGGAGAAAACTGCTTTATGTCATAGTATTAATACAGTCAAACCTGCTCTAATGGCCACCCGTCCCAAGACAAATATCTATACAAATGACTACTTCCAGCTCCCCCTCACTTGCGTTTTAAAAAAGTATTTTAATAACACTTTCCAAGACATCCACCAATCTAAGAAAACCACTTTTTTCTTCAATCATGGGTGGCTGTTGTGGACAATTTAGACTGGGCTTTCTGTTATACTTTTGAAAACATATGTATAATATTGTACGTTTTATTATCTATTTTATTGTCTCTTTTATGCTCTTGTGGTCTTGAGAGATGATGTTTGCTTTGGATTCAAAGAGTCTTGGATTTGAAACCTGACGGCGACGAAAAAATTTTCTTCTCTAAAAATTTCTTCTATCACCTCCTTTCCTGTTGTCTAGTCCTGTTCTGTCATCTGCTTTCATCTCCATGTGTTGGGGCTCATATACTTTTGGAGTTTACCAGAAGGATCGATGCAAAATAATCCCAAGCTGATGAGGTATTTAATCATCAATCTGTCTGTGAAGCATTTCAATTCATGGGTGTCAATTTTTAAAATGGTCCGACCTTGCTTTCTGGCCGTGAGGGGCTTAGTTTTCCATGGCGATTCTCCAGCTCCAATTATATGAAAATACAAACAACTTACACCATTGTAGTGACGCTGATGCTTGCATCACATCAAACAATAGACAGCTCTTCAGATGACTGGATACAAGTCTATACGGACGGCTCAGCATTCAAAGGCACAACCAAAGCCAGATATGGAATACTAATACAGTACCCAGATGGAAGTTCCAATGAGATCTCTGCAGCCTGTGGAGAGAAATACAGCAACTATGATGCAGAAATGATGGCAATTGAAACAGCACTGTACCATCTCCGCACAGTTTTTGACACTCATCCTGGAAAAGCACAGAGTATTGTGATTTTCACTGACTCACTATCAGTATTACAAGCCATAAAAAATGGCCATCGTCTAAACCAAGATTTGACCCATATACTGTTTGGATCCCATCATCTGATGACATTCTGTGGCATCAACCTAGTAATGCAGTGGGTCCCCGGACACTCAGACATACCTGGAAATGACAGAGCAGACACACTTGCCAAACGGGGATCTAGACAGGAACAACCCAACATTCCAACTTCATACAACACCGCAAAACAAATCATCAAAAACAACAACAAACAAGATTGGATGAACAGATGGGCCCTGGGAAAGACAGACAGAGCAGTTTTCAAACATATGACCGCAACAAAAAGGAATGACAATATCAACCTCATACAGAGAAAGAAACAGACCACGATCTTCCGCTTACGAACAGAACATATACAGCTCAACTTCCACCTGAACAAAATAAACCCGGAACTTCCCCCAATGTGTCCCTTGTGTGACTATGCATATGAGACTGTGGATCCTCACCTGTTCCACTGCACAGCCCTAAATGACAGGAGAGCTACCCTTCTCCCTCCGAGACCTAACATTGACAACACACTCTATGGAACATTACAGCAACTGCAGCAAACCTGCACTTATCACTACATGGCATTGGACAGAAGGGCGAGTGCCCAGCTGTTGCTGGATCGATAACAACAACAACACCATTGTAATGAGGAAAAACTTAACTTTCATGGTGTACAGCTTTTGTTGTTTTGTAGTGACAGAGTAAAGAAACAGCAATCTGAAATACCCTGATTTCACCCAAAACATACGCTCTGAAGGCAGTGAGGCGGCGTACATGCCATGTATACATCTGTCCCCTTCGTTTTATGCAAGAAAAATCTAAATTATGCAAACTGAGCCCAAAAATGTGAAATTATGCGATTCTGTTTTTTTTAAAACAAAGAATGATGATAAAGGAAAATAATCAGAAATTATGCGAAAAATGATCAAACTTTGGTAAGTCATGCAGGGTGCATAAAACCACGGGGACAGATACATGTATTATTCTACCCAATGTTTATCAATTGTATTATCATCTGATTATTGTCTTATTACATGTATGTATTTCTTGTTCAGGGCATGAAGAGACAGAGGAGCCCCTCCCCTACACCGGCCTCCTCCGCCTCATCGTATCAGACGTACGGACACAGCGAGTCCAAGTACTTGCACACCTCAGAGGGAAAGTACCCCTCGCACAACGACTCCAAATTTGGCCATGCTGACCCCAAGTATCTGCCTTCCTTTGCTGGGGGCAAGCCGGGCCACCTGTACACTGCACCCCACGCACAGCCTGCTGACTTCAGTGAGTCTTTGTTCTGATATCTAGATCATCCTCATTCGCCTCGTTCACTCTGGTATTGGGTACAAGCTGCCAAGAAGGGCTCTGATATATAAATACAGTACATATTTTGACTGTTGTAAGGTACAGTTCCCCCCCCCCCTCTCTCTCTCTGTCTGTAACGATTGTTTTATATTGTAGGTCTACATTTCTTCTTCTGTAATACCTCATACCAAGTGGCATATAAGTTAGTAGCAGCAATGAATTTTCGTCTCCTTTTCTCCTTCTTTTCATACAATTGTTCACGGATAACTCAAACACATTGGGGATTGACAAATGTGTTTAACACATCCATAATTTGAGTAAACCATATAGCGGAAAATTAAAGAGGTATCAGTCTGGGAATGCCTCGAGATTTCACAATTGTGGGTACAGCTGACTTACCAATGTGTTGACATTATATCCATCCAGGTGCTATGAGGCTAAGGTGGGTGGGTAGTTTGCTCCTTTCTTCCTATCAAACTTTTTTTGTCTTTAGCTCTCCTCCTTTTTTGTGTTTATCACTCTCTTGTAACTCCTCTAATCTTGGGTACATACTTTTATATGACCTAATTGCGTTGTAAGTGCTGTAAAACTTGTACTAAAACAATATGCGGTTAACTCACTTGCGACTGGGCCCTTTCACCAGTCACGAGCGTTGAAGACTGGCGTTTTTGGGGGTATTTCAATAAATCACCACAACTCTCAGAATTACCCTATTGTAATCATTTTTTGACACAGTAAAGTAACATTCAAGCTTAATCTAATACAAAAAACTAAAGTTGTCCAAGTGTAATACTTTAATTTGTATGATTTTTAAAAAATTGGCATGAATTTGATTTTCCGAAAAATTTCCAGAGACGTGACAAGTAGAATGAAATTCCTTGCAACAACAAAAATAAAAGTTCAAAGTGTTCTGGTTTGGTTTGTATCCATGTGCGAGTGTTTGGTAAAAATATAATAGCTGGTCTATGCATTGATTCAGACCCATACACTGAATTACATGAGACAGATGTACGGCACGACGTTGTGATTTCGTTGCGCGAAAAACAACACCGGTACTAGTGCTAGATCTAGCCTTAGAACTACGACTCGGGCCATGTTCGGGTACATATCCAGGATCCTAACTATTAGACACATCATATTCTGAGACACTAGAACTAGTAAAACGCACAGAAGTATAGAAAACGGCGAAATTATGTGATTCTTGTTCATGCGACTTCTTCGACCGTTACTACGACGCGACTGTCGGATTACTATCAGCTGTATAGAAAAAAACAAAGCGCGAGTTCCGGTCTGTTCAACCCCAGTTGGGGTCACTGTCCTTCACCTTCAATAACTTAAAAACTACCGGCCCCAGAGATACGAAACGAAGTCTAAGTAGCTCAGGCTTGGCCAAACAAGGGTGCGAGGCGGGTCTCGCGATCCGTGCGTGATTTGTAGAGCGAAAAAAAAATTCCAAAGTTGGTCACGCAGGGCTTGTGAGACCCGTCGCGAGCGTCGCGGCGAGGGTCACGCAACTGTTGTGTGACCCGTCTGAAGTGAGTTAAGGGACAAGCTCTGGGAAAAAACTGCAGTCTTTGTTGTTGTAGAGACAGTATTTTTCGTCTACATTTTGATATAATTTTATTCTGATTGCTGAAAAAGACGAAGATGAAATTGACTTTTATTGACAGCGTTTGTTTCGTTGGTTTCTCTTTTTTGTTGTTGTTTTTTTGGTTTTTTTACCTTTTTCCTGATCTAGCGCTACCAACTTACAATTCGACTGTGGAAACAGAATAATAATTTTAAAATGGCCAATTTCTTTTAAAAAAATTAATTACTCTTTACATTTTTTGACTTTTTATTTAGTGATCTTAATTGTATTGAAGCATGGGTTGCTATCATATGAATGATTTATGTAATGCTTTCAACTTCTCTTTTGACTGCAGCAGAAGAAGACAGAGTCTCTATTATTCACTGATTTCACTAACATGTTAAATTTTATTTCTTTTTCTTTTGTTAGAAACGTCGGCCTACCCCCAGGCCAGCGCCAGCCATCTTTACGCCACCAACCCCTCGTTCCAACAGCAGGCTGCTGCTGCGGCTGTGGCCAGCCCTTATTCCAGCAGCCAATCGAGTGCCAGCAAGTACCCTGGGCCTGGCCAATCGGCTTTCACCTCGTACCAGGGCCACTACCCCCAGTCCCACCCGCAGAAAGCCCTGCCGGAACAGTTCCCAGCCGCCTACCCGATACAGAGGATGCAGCAGCCTGGTGAGTGTGTGTGTGTGTGTGTGTGTGGTGTGTGTGTGTGTGTTTGAGTATGTGTGTCCCCGCATATTTATAACATGCAAAAAAAAATTCTGAAATTATGCAAACTGAGCCCAAAAATGTGAAATTATGCGATTCTGCTAATTTGAAGAAAGAATGATAAAGGAAAATAATAAGTTAGGCTAAAAAAAGTTCAAATTTTGCTAAATTATGCGGAGTGCATAAAACCCCGTGGACAGGTATGTGTATGTGTGTGTGTGTGTGTGTGGGGGTGTTGTGTGTTGTGATGTTTTTATCAGTGCTGCCCATTATTGTGAAATTGGCTGAATCATGTAGAGTAACTTGACCACTTGCGGCCACGAGCGAACATTCCCCCCTAGCTAGCACTGCTTTTGCACTAAGAGATTCCCAATTTGATTTTCGAGGAGAAAAAAGCCGCAGGAAGGGCCCTGACCTGGCCGGGAATTTAAAGACTTCAAGTATAGAGTGCAGTGGGTGTTTTCTGCACAACTTCAGCGTACCACTTGACGGCCGGCAGCCTTGGGTGCGGCCGACGACGAGCCACACATGCGGTCACCTGACTTACGTGCAGCCGAATCCATGCCCGTTATGCGGCCAGGCCTTAAACAAGCTTCAAACACTTGGAAACATGACAAACAATGAAGGAAATCAATAACAAACGCATAAGGTGCAATTTGAAATATGGTAGGCCTACATTCAACTTTAATGAGATTCAACAGACTCTTGGTCAGAGCATGCAAACGAAATGGAAATCAGTGACACAGAATGCAAACGGGAATGTTCAAAATTAAAGAATGGTATATACAACTTAAATGAGATTCAATCTACTTTTGATCAGAGCATGCAAACAAAATGGAAATCAATGACAGCGTAGATCTATGCAAAAAAGTGCAAGGATGGTAGATCTAGATCTAGATTACGTCTACTCTTGATAAGAGCAGAACGGACAAGTCTCACGTCTCTGGCCTCAAGGTACGATCTCCACCGTCATGCTGAACAAGTGAATCCCCGCTCTCCTCATTAACAGTGTCTGGCCTTCCTTCCGCTTCAGCCAATGCTGGCATTTCGTTTCCAGTTCCGACCATGTTGCAGTCCTCCACCTCTTCTTCATTCATCTCACGCATAGCATATTATTCTCTTTCTACTCCAAGTCCAACGACTGGTCTTTTGTTCCCATCTCCGTCACTCTCAAGCATGTCTTGTCTTTCTGTTTCTTCTGCTTCAACCACTTGTCTTTTGTTTCCTATGCCTTCATTGTCAGCAGCAACACTGTTTCTCTTTCTCTCCGTCTGTGGTCCGACTCTTGATCCTTCATCAAGTTCAAGCGTTTCATTGTCCGTGTGTCATCTCTGTGGAGTTTCATATCCTTCCACAACCCCCACTTCAGCAAACATGGATTCCTCAGTCGAACATTCTTCTTCCATGAAATCTTCCAACTGCAGGTCATCTTCATCAAACGGTATCATTTCACTTTCATTGATATCTGCACTTGTGTCATAGTCTGAATCACTCAACCTCTTCTTGGATTTGTTTCCTTTCACTTTGGACTTCTTTTCTTTTGCTTCTTCTTATTCTCCGTCTCCTTCTCCTTGGCTAGTCTCCTCTCTTCTTACATCTTCTTTTTATTTTCTTTCTCCACTTTGCTTCTTTAGCTCCTCTCGCTGTTTTTCTCTTTCCTTTCCCGCCTTCCATTTCCCCTCTTCCATTTTGGCTCTACTCTGTCCACTTTTCTCATTTCCATCTGTGCTTTCCTTTTGATCTTTCAATCTTTGTTGATTAAAGAGTCAATGATTTCTATTCCACTGATGAGCGATGGAAGCTTTTCCAGCGATGTCTTTCTCTTGCCGCCATTACTCCTGCGTTGCAAAGTAGGAAGAATGAAGGAATCTTTCAGTCTCAGATTGACTTGGCATCTCCCCATCCCTTCACTGACTGCTTGTTACACATTGTCTAAAGCTTCTTTTGTCCCCTTCGGTTTCCCACTCATTTTAAGACTTGCTTGGGAAAACACATTTTTTGGATAGATTAGTGTTCACTTCATGCCATACTTCAGTTTTTGTTTGAATTGGCCTGTAATGTCTCTAATTAAAACCAGTAGGTCATTTAGGCAAATTAATGTGCTGTTACACTGGGATATGAAATGTCACAGAACTGATTATCCCATCTAGTCACAGTGTACTAACACTAGTAACCCGTCATAGCACTCGTCCCATAATGCCGACGCCAGGTGGGACAACAACTAGATCTAGATTGCCAGTTTTTTTAGTCTTAGGTATGACCTGGTCGGGAATTGAATCCACGATCTTCCATTCCTGAGAAAGACACCATACCACTAGGCCGCTGAGATCGGTGCCATGCTTGAAAATATCGTATTGTTTCGTTACCAGTAGATCTAGATCTAGCTTTATTAAGTGGACAAAAAGCTTTGCAAATAGCCTACCTCTATCAAGAACAAGGTCTAGATTCTATCTCAAGACCTTAGCCTTCATTTGACCAGGGCTATCTATCATTTTGGACTCTGGCCGTGGCCAGGACCTCTACTGTAAAGCCCGTCCTCGGTGCGGCCGATTTGACCGCATGTGGGCACACATGAAAAATTACCCTGCCCTGGCTGCGTCCATCGACGTTTTTCCGAAAGTTTATGTTTGAGCGATATTTATACAATGTTAGGCTTAAAAACGTACATTTTAAAACACAGAAACCACACTTAGTTGACAAAATAATGATATTTAGGTTGTGGTAAGAGCTAATGAAAAACTCATCTGAAATTTCACAAAGGGATGTTTTCGGGTTGAAAAGTTCAAACTCGCATCACGTGTGTCGGAACAGCGGGAAAGACCGGAAATGAAAGTGAACACATTGGCAGACCCAAGAGAAGCTACAGTGGTTTATTCAAACCCTTACAGCAACTGGAATGCGAGTTATGAAAACTGGCCGCACACCAGCAGTGGCCGCGAGGGGGTCAAGCTACTCTACTTTTCTTTCAACATTACAAAAATATGATTGTAGCAACCCTGATTCAGATTTTAAAATTTCATTTGCCGTTCAACTACCCCAGCCCATTTCCACTCTCCTCGTGCAAAAAGGAAGGAACAGTCATACCCTGACATGTCATAACGTCACATGCAGCTGTCTTATTTCGACACCCTTTGTGCACATAGCTCTTGCCTTTAGAAAAACATTTGTTGGGCCAAAGAGAGGAGTATGGCAAACATTGATTTGACAAGGTGTTGAAAAATTTCCTAATCTTTGCATCATCTGTAATGGCTTAGGCCACAATGAGAGAATTAAAAAATTAGGTAATAGTTTGAGATAATTTGGCTGCGGTGTGTGGCATGTAGTAATGATGCACAATCAGGGCCAAAGGCTCGTGACATGTCCAGTCTGTTTCTTTTGTTTTTGCAAGAGTCAATCTGACACTGACAGCCAATAACTAATCCCCCGTCCCCCCTTTTTCCCCTACTCGACTATGATGAATATGCAGAGACCTGCATCACACCTTTGTTTAGATTTAACCTTCTTGAACCTACAATCCCTGCCCTTGACACTCCGGGAGAAGAAGACTATTCATGGCCATGTTATGATTCATGAATTTTTAAGTCAGGTTACTAATTTTTTATCTTGTTGATTGCTAAAACATATGCTTGTAGCTGCATGTGTGTATGACTTTTATCGTGTATTGTCGCAGACTGTTCTAAACCTTCCTCTTCTTCTCGATCGCATCACATTTGAAGGCTGGTATCTGTTACTGTTATATACTTGGCCGTCCTGCTCAGTTCCTCCATTGGTCCGTATAGCTTCTCCTGTACTATTAATGTGGTTGGTCACATTTCCTGTGTCAGGGTGCTGTGGGTAGTCTGCTGCTGAAAGATGTGTTCCAAACTTTGGTCTTGTTCTCCTCCACTCTGGCATTTTGGTAATTGCACTTGTTAAAAACTGCTGTACATGAGTTATCTCTGTCTTAATTCTTGTGTTCTTAGTTGTTCTGAATTGATATGGATTTTTCTCTGTGTTCCAGGTTACCATGCCAGTCTTCAGCTGCAGCAGACGCTGGAACATGCGGGGCAGAAACAGGCGGCGGCTGCCGCTTTTGAGGACAAGTACAAGTTGGGACAGGTCAGAGAGAGACAGAGAGACACACAGAGAGAAAGAGAGACAGAGAAAGACACAAAGAGAAAGAGAGAGAGACAGAGAGACACATAGAGAGAAAGAGAGACAGAGAGAGACACAAAGAGAAAGAGAGAGACAGAGAGAGATGCAGAGAGAAAGAGAGAGAGATAGAGACTCTGAGAAAGATGGACTAAGTTGGTTTGACCCAGAAGTAACTATATAATGCCATTCTGTCCTAAATGCTAATATTAGCAAAAATTAAGTATTTGAATGACATGTGTTCTAGTCAATGATAAACAACAAACCCATTTGCCGAGAAGTTTAGCTTCATTGCACAAACCCAATTCCAAATGTGTCTGTGTTCACATGTTTCTTAAAAACCTTTAGAGCAGGTTCCACTGTATAAATATAAAAATGTTGGCCTGGTTCCTGGTCCCAAGTAATGGAACGTCTCTATGTTTGATTGTTCAATTTCAGACACAGATTCGTGGCATGGTCCCCCCTCAGCAGCCGACGCTGATATCGCAGGCGCTGCAGCTTCAGCAGCAACAGTCCAAGGTAGGGGAGACAGACTGTTTGCTACCCTAGAAGTACAAAGTTCTATCTGCTCAGTACCTAGTTTTGAGAAATTAAAAAAATTATGTGTTTCACATGTCAAGCTTTTTCGAATGCAATTCTTTGAATATCTTGATATCGACTCCGAATAATCTTACAATTCTGAGCACATAAAACATTTTGTTTTTGATCTCATGGTCTTAGTAACTCAAAATGGCAAAAAATGCCAGAACTTTGTAATTCTAAGGTAGTGTATTGTTGGCCTTGTTATTTCTCATCCGCAGGCATGCCAACTGTCCTGAATTTCACAGGACACTCCCGGATTAGGCAATCAGAAATTTGAGAGCCTTATCACATATATGTTTATCACCAAAACCAGTCCCGTTTCATGTTATTTTGTTTGTTGTTACATAATCTGATGTTTTAATGTCGAGTGTCCTTGTTTGGGTTTTTGGGATAGTACGGGTGCTCTGGTGTGGTTTGCTCCTTTCCTATCAGACATCTGTCATCCTTCTTTTTCGTGTTTGTTACTCTCTTGTAACACCTGAAATCTTTGGCACTTGTTATATGACCTTATCCGGTGGCAAGTGCTGTGAAACTTTTACAAAAACTAAAACTGATTGGGTTTTGAAAAAGTTGGCGAGCCTGCATCTGTTTTATGCAGAGTGTGGAAGTTACTGCATCATGTACAAAGAGTACTGTGAGAAATGGGAGGAAAGGAATAGGTGGATGAGAGGAAAAGGTGGAGGGAGGGACTGGGGAGAGGGTGGGGATCGATGGATAGATAGAAAGATAGCTTGACTGATAGAGAGAGAGAGAGAGAGAGAGAGAGA